GATGCTTGATGATGCACAATATGCATGATTTGCAGTGCCTAAATGCTGGCATAACACTGGGGTGTTACACTCGTAACGCAAGGCGTTTGTGCGGGCTTTTTAGCTTATCTTGCTCAGAAGCTGAGCAAACGCTCTCCCAAACACGCCCTATATACGTGCAAATTAAGTCAGCGGCTGATCATGAGTGTACCCACGTCTCTAAGTAACCAATAGGCATGTCTTTGTCCTCGCAGAAAGAAGAAGAAATGGGTAGGATACAGGATATGAACTGTGGTCTGTGGAGAAGAGAAGTGAGAAAACTCGCAAAAGTCAGCAGTTGACAAATGCGGAATGGGAACGCACACGGAGGAAAAACGAAAGAAAACGGTCGCACCGCACATAACATGACCTTAGCAGCCAAGTTCCCGGAACGTATGAAACGTTGTACATGGTACTGACACTTTGAGAAACTACAGGATGAAGGGAGTATACAGCTTCTCAGCTCGAACACGTACCGTCTTTAAACGGAACGTGACTGGAGGTAGTGGTTGGTTCCTCTAGGATAAACTTGTTTTGAACTTGCCGAGTACGAATCCCGTGCATGTCATTTTTTTTTGTTTTATTGGACCGTTGGATTTTCCATCCAAATGAATGGCAACCGTCCATCCGTTAATGAAACCTAAAGCCCACTCCAGGCCCATGCGACCATCTTGGGAGCTGCCGGCCGCCGCCGCCCACACGGTCGCACGGCCACGCGGGGCGGGACCCCGTTGCGCTACGAAGGTACGCCCGCATCATCTCCACGCTCGCCGCCGTGCGTCTCTTCCCGGCCGTGGAGTCCGTCCTCCATCCTCTTCCCGGCCGGCCGGCCTTGAATACCCTCCACGACGCCCTGGTCGCCTGCCGCGCTCCCCCCTCCGCGACCTCCTAGCTGTCTGCGTCCCGGCTCTTGGCGACATTCTCATGCGAGCGGCGGCTGCGTCCCGGCTCTTAGCGACAGCGAGTCATGTTCCATCTGCTGTCGGGACGGCGTCCCGCCATGTTCCCGTTCCGCGAATCGGAACGATGTTCCCGGCACCTTCCCGTCCCCCGGCTGCTAAGGACATGACAGCGCCGGGCCCACACAATGAGGCAAGACGTGTCCTACGCGCATGACAAACGGCCAAGCTTTCGATGGTGACGTCGTCACTCATCGTCATCGGTCGAGACTCGAGACTCGAGACACGAGGGTGGAGACTTTCCTGCCCGCTGCCCATCCCGAATTCCCCATGGATCGGAGTCGGAGGCCAACAAACAAATGATTCTCCGCGCCGCCACCGACAAGGAAATCGGACACGCTGCGGGTCTGGCGGGCTGGACTGCTGGAGTGAGAACTTTGGATTTCGATTTGTAGATGTAGTGGCACTTGTCAACGCAGGCGTTGCTTCAGACGTGTTTGGTTCCTCTTCTCAAATTTAGTCCCTGTCATATCGAATATTTAACACTAATTTGCAATATTAAACATAGACTAATTATATAGATGGAGACTAATTTATGAGACAAATCTATTAAGTCTAATTAGTTCATGATTTGACAATGTGGTGCTACAATAAATATTTACTAATGATGAATTAATTAGGCTTAATAAATTCGTCTCGTAACTTGGTCTTCATATATATAATTAGTTTTATAATTAGCTCATATTTAATCCTCCTAATTAATATATGAATATCCGATGTGACAGAGACTAAACTTTAAAACAGGTTTAGCGCACCACATGGTCAAAAAGTGCTACAGTAACAGGTCGAGGAAATGTCAAAAAGGCTACCGTGACAAGACATTGTAGGAGGGTCACGAAAGCGATCAACAAGTTTACTAGAGAGTTCGTACATGGTTCTCTCTACTCGTAGTTGGGGTGGGAAGTTGAGAGTTCTATGAGCATTTTCGTCCGTTTTTTTTTCCTTGCATGCAAACGTCAGTCGGTACGCTTGCCCTCAAATGAAACCTCACTGCGCTAAGTCACTGTTAACCTCTCTAGTCTCTACCTCCTCCTCTCATGCCACGCTTGTATTGGTCCAAGTGAGGTGGAAATCAGCCATAACTTGCACGTCATATAAGGCCAGTCGCAGTAGAGGTTCCATGTCACTATTTTCAGACTATCTTAGCATGCAAGATATCCGTATCATCTCCTACTAACTATATATTCATGCCATCTTCCAACAATAGTCATGTCAAACTAATAACTTATAATTTTTTAATGAAGCTATCCACGTCATCTCTATTTAATTTTATTCCAAATTCTTCGTAATTTCCGTAGCAACGCACGGGTATCTTCTTCTGGTATATATTATCGCACAAAGCAGAAATGTTGCGGAAGATGGATGGAAATTCGGCCTGGTATTGCGCATGCTATGTTGGTGATGACGTATTCACAGGTTAACAATGACAAAACATCTGTAGCTTCTGAATTGGTACAAAATAAAAGGAGAGAATAGCACTTTTGCTCATGTCTATGGGCCTAATAAATTTGAGACTAGTAGACCAGTGAGGCCCAAGAATGATGAACCAAAACGAGCCTGTCCAAGCCCTGACCACCTCATCTAATTGGGCCGGATGTCCCTTGGTTCTGTCCGGTTGGGCACAAGTTCGAACTGTGTGACGCGTCGTGCAAAGCAGCCAGATTTTACTGAATCTACTGGTCAACAAGAGATGCCAACTCCTTGCGAAACTCTCAAAGCTCGGCCAGGATCAACCGGAAATCGAGACCGGTAGTGCTCAATTGCAATCGGAATCGGTTAGTGAGGGATTTCGGTGAAATTCCAGGATTGGCTCTAAATACCAGATGTTAGCAGCAGGGTAGCGGGGATAGGTAGGGAAGCATCAGATATCAGAGATTGGAGAGGAACTAGTAGCAGAGCAGGGGAATTGGGAGGAAGAAGATGAACACGAGAGGAGTAGCTAGAACAGATTATGATATATCTAATTGTTGATTACAATATTCTTCATACCCCTCTCTTCACAGCCAAAGATAAATATATACCACTCCATACACGTGCCAAGCCCAACCAACCAGTAGAGCCACGCATGCCCATGTCCGATGCCCATATCTATTACTAATACTAGCCCATATCCCTATCAAAGAAGAAAAACTACGACGAGAAAAGCACTGACGGTGATCGATCGCGGGGCAGGGACGGGGGGACGTGGACGTGGACGTGGACGGCAGCCGGAGAAGACGGTGGTGATGCGGATCACTCAGGGCGGTGGCGCGGGAGGAGCACTCCCACACCCAGCGCGACGGCGGCGACGAGCCACAGCGAGTAGGCGGCCAGCGCCACTGCGGGCCATGGCGCTCCTCCGGCCACGCCGACGTTGACGCAGGACGCTCCCGCGAGGAGCACGAGGAGGAACAGCCGCTGGTCCATGACGCTCGCTCGCTCGATCGGTTATAGCGGGAGTTGGAGGACGGCGGACCGCCTGTTTCTTATACCCAAAGCTTCCCAGGCTTCGCGGAAGGAGATAGCGAGATAGCCTTGGTGGGCCAATTTTTCAGCCGTCCAAGCGGTGGTCGGTGCTGTGAACTGTGCAAAACAAAACCGTGATCAGTTCATCGGATAAGCTCTCTGCTGATTCATCAACCTCACAAAAGTCGTGATGCTGAACCTTGAGATTCTGCATGTCGTCATATCCATCGTCCTGCCACATTTCATCTGACCTCTGGGTTGTAACGTAACCAATTCAATCAAGCACTTATATATGTACTATACTAGTATATATAAGCTATGACAGGTGACAACATACAGAGCCGTCAGTGACAAAACAAAATATGCACTCCGGTTGTTGAGATCGGTGAACGGAACGACCGTGCGGCATGGATTTCGCCACGTCGCCACGCCGCAGCCCTTGCCTCCACGGAACCGACACTATGGCGCCATGCCGTGTCTGAGAATGAAAGTCGTCGTCTACCCTGCCATGCATGACACGGCAGAAGGACGTTACGTGCGCGCAGCTCCAACACAGCCGGCCGGGGAAGATGACCGACTGACCAAGAGTGCGTAGTTGACATGGCTCCCGCGCGTCTCCCGCGCCCATGCCAAATTTTGGCTGAGGATATATGCTTGTCCGCTTGTTTTAGATAATGATGATGAAGGCAATCTCATGTTAACATCAGTAGTATCAGCATCTGAACCCGGCCTGGTGCACCAACAATAATGCACATCCACCACCACCACAGAAAGATTGTTTGTTTGTGTGGCCAGGTCCCAAACATATGCTAATTGATCCAACTAAGCTGAATCCTCAGAACATAATAATATCCATTTTTTTGAAAAAAGGGAAACGAATTCATGGACATTTTCATTTCCTGGACACATATCTTTTGACTACAGAACATGGATTTTTAGCTACATGAAAAAATGGATATAGGGGGTTAGATTTACCTAATTAAAAACTACACTAGCATCTTCCATCTACATGATGGAATTGTAAACATTAACTAATTTTTTTAAAAGTAATTGGCAAAGAGAAGTGTAGCTCAGTTGGCTAGATTCCTTGGTGGGTTCAAATAATTGAATTGGCACCTGACCTTGCATTTTTTTTTAGATTTATTTATTCCAAAATTTAGCGTCGATATAATTTTGACAGCAAGATGCTGAGGTCTGTGGGTGTATATGAGTATCTTTGTCTATATTAAGATTAACGAAAGAAAGAAGTACATACTTGACAAATGAGAAAATTTTATTCTTAGGCCCCGTTCGCTTCGCTGAAAAAACAAGTCGAAATACTATTCCGACTAATTTGTTGTGAGAGAAAAACACGGTTCCGACTGAAAAAAATAAGTTGAAAAATACGGATTATAAAACAAGCGAACATGGCCTTAGACCTTCACAAAAAAATGAGAGGGGAAAGGAAGTTAAAGAAACTGACAGAAAGTTCAAGCCTGATTCAACTTTGCTACAGGGCCGGCCCAACTACAATTTCTTTCATTCCCATTTTATTAGGCCCATCCTGGCTTTCTCGGCACGGGTAACACGAGTCACCACTCACCAGGTGTGTGCTATAGTGCTAAAAAAAAAGGTGTGTGCTACAGGATACAGCTCATCGGGCAACCCTTGGGCGTCCAGCAGGGCGAGGAGGACCGTGCCGGCCGATGCCACGAACAGCGCCGCCGCGGAAGCCACCAAGAGGACCCGCCGGCGCGCTGCGGAGACGACGACCGTGGTATGGAGGAGAACGAGCACGAGGCCGGCGGCGGACAGGAGAGCCGCGAACGCCAACAGCACGGAGATTCCTCCGGTCCAGCCCCAGCGCCGCTGCCGCTCGGTGTCGGTGTCGGTGTCGCCGCGGAGGAGGAAGAACAGGTTGGTCAGATCGACGGCGGCTGTAGCGGCCACGGCCAGCGCTGTCTTCTCCGTGGAATCCCTCTGCATGGCTGCGGTGCTGCTGATCTGCAGCTGTGTATATATATATATATATATATATATATATATATATATATATATATATATATATATATATATATATATATATATATATATATATATATATATATATATATATATATATATATATATAATAACCGGAGTCTGGCTGCTAAGCTACCTCATCGAAAGGCAACGAACGTGCAGGTGCAGCTTGAGTAGTTTGCCTACCTCGAAGTCGACGGTGTCTGACGCCTGGCTCGTTTCTTCGACCACTACGACGACCTGCAACGTCGTCGCCATGGGAACGCCTCCACTGTCACTTCCTCGGAACTCCATGCCTTCCAGGTCATCAATGGCGCCCAAGACTGGCATTGGGGGATCGAATCATCATTGTTCTAATCAAAGAGACGCACAGAGCCACAGACTATTATAAGCTGAGGGACCGAGGAGCGAGAAATACAGGGCGTGCAGCTAATACTCCTAAAGGGCGTCCCCGTCCCCAACAAAGACTCAAATAGCTAGTATAAATTGTATTTTATTTTGCAAAGAGGAGAGAGAACGCTAAAAAAAACCTCGCTAGCGAGATGGAAAAAGCAACTAGCTCGTACGGTTTTCAAAAACTCGCTGTCTCTGACACCCGGGCTCTTTTTTTGGGCTGCCATGCAGCTTACGTTTCTTCAATTCTTTATTCCCTCGTCGCTATCTATTTGAACCAGGCCATTGGGGACGGCCTAATCTAAATGGCGTTGCAGAGCGCGGTGAGTACCAAGCAGTGGTCAAGTCAATTAGAAATGCATAAAACGTTGCAAGTGGTAGGTCAACGGTCTACAAGTTAGTGCCATCTCAACAGTAACTACAGTATTCTTGAACATCAATGGAGTATATCCCAAGCTCAGAACTGGTCTCATTTGGCGCGTGCAGTATCGTGAAATTTAAATCTTAGACATTTATAGGAGCAACTTTGAGAAATCATATATACCGGTTCTTCTGGAATTCTCCCCGTCAAAGCTAAGGTTAGCCCTGGTAGGGGAGCCACGCCATGTCGCCTTAAATTCATTGGTGCAGCCACGTCTCCCCGAATTCACTTCACGTGGCCAGAAACGAGCCACGTCACCCGAAATTCCCGTCCACAAAAAGCCGCTCTCCCCTCTCGTCATTGAAAAAAAAAAACAAAAAACAAAAAAACCGATCCCTCTAGCCTCGCTCCGTCGCCTCCTGACCCCGCGCCTCCTGCTGCCGACGCCCCTTCCAGCGCCGGCGCCGCCGCTCCACCTTCCCAGCGCCGCCCCTCCCCATCTCCGGCGCCACAGCCATGCCCGGCTGCCCCTGCCACCCCTTCCTCTCTCTCCCTCTTGTTAGATGATCCCCAACCAGCCAATTGGGCCCTTGGAACCACGCCCTGATCGGGGGCGCCCAACCATTCCACGGTTGGTGGGCTCCTGTCGCACAACGCCATAAAAAGAGAGGTGGGGGCCAGGCACGAGGCTCACCTGAGCCGCCAGACGACCCACCTACTGTCCCGGAACCCTAACCAATCTAAGAGGGGGTGCTGCCAGCGACAGGAAGACCGCCACCCGCCGCCGCCGCCTTTGCATCGTCCCCACAGCGACAGCGCCCTCACCGTCGGCCTTCACCGCGCCACCGTCGAGCAACCCCATGGCCAGCTCGTCCTACAAAGGTGGTCGATGGTTTGCACCTCCTCAACCCCTATCTCTCTCTCACTCTGTCTGTTAATCCCGTACTAGTATATGTTCTAGGGTTTACACTTCATCAAATGTCAGTAGGTATGCTAGATCTATGGCTAGTGATCCTGTAATGTTTCTATCAATGGTATCAGACACCTAACTAGGCATAGATCTAGCCTATCGGAGTAGAAAACCGAGTAGCAGCATTTAGAAGGAGGTGATAGATCCATTTCAGATCTAAGCAGAGGGTTCATCGAACCCTAAACCCAAATCGGGTGAAGAAAAGGAGTAAGAAAGGGTCTCGGTTTTGAAAAGGAACTCAAACCCTAACCATAACCCACGTAAAGGGGAAGAAGAACAGTACTCAAACCCTAACCCTACCCTAGAAAAATGAAAGGTCGGTGAAGGGAGAGACCTACCTGGGAATCTTCCTTATCACCGGCGGTACCGCCGGCGTGTGGGAAGACAGCGCGCGCTAAGAAAGCCGCCGGCTCACCGATGCTCTACGGCGTCGCACACAAGAGCGTGAGGCGCAAAGGGCACCACTGTGGTGCCTCTCGATGGCGCCACACGTGGTTTCGGCCGCACGCGAGCACCGGCGAAGGGCGCCACGGCGGCGCAGCCTCCTCCTGTGTTGACCTCAGGTGCGACGGGGAGAGAGGGCTAGATATAGGGTTAAGACCAAGCCCACCGCAGCGCGTATGGGGGTGAGGGCACCATCGCCTAGACCGCTCGACGGCGGCGCACTCAGCCTATGGCAAGCGCGCGCGCCGTCGAGGGGACGTCGGCGGCGCGCTGCTCGTTGCTCTCTCTCTTTCTCTTCCGGCTGCGCTGAGGAGAGGAAACGGGAGGGAGGCGAGAATGATTTAGGGTTTAGGGCGCCCGCGCCGCGGCGGGGTTTTGTTCTTGCGCAAACGTCGCCCGGCCGTCCGATCGTGATCAACGGCTACGATTTGCTGGACCTAGATTAGGCCCAGGCGGGCACGGGGAATCCCAACCCAGGCCCAGGTTGTAGCCTGGGCGCGGGGGAGGTGCTGCGCTCGCGCGTAGTGGGCCGATTCATGGCGCTAGGGCCACACGCGCGGACGTGGGCCGCGACTGCTTCATCAAGTCTGGGCCAAATGAACAGTGAACTACGAGTTTATGTTTTATTCTTTTTTCAGAAGCAAACTTTTGATGATATTTGTCTAGTTTAAAATCTCTATCAAAATTTGAACCAATGGGATAATTTTTAGAGAATAGTTGAGAAAAGTTAAATGCTTCTAAAAAATAGATAATGAATTTTTTCATGTTTCCGCTGCAATGTTAAAGTTTATTATCTTCTAATTAAATTCGAACCAACGGAAGAATTTAATTTGAAGAGTAGTCATTTTTAATCAGTAAATCATAATATTGTTATTTTTCTGACCAACATTGATAATAGTAATATTATAATGTTTATTCATAAGGTTTTCCATGTATTAATTCTATTTCTGCCCAATGGTGATGTGGAATTAGTGTATAAGAATGTTGTATGTTTTAATTTTGACCAACGTTAAATTAAATCATGCAATTATGATGTCATATTTTCTCACTTTCTCTAGGGCTGTTTTTCAGTACTCAACCCAATGGCTTTTATCTCGCACATACCGCCTCTTGTAGGGGGCAACTATACGGTATGGCGAGAGAAGTATGAACTAGTACTTGCGTTGTCTGAAAATGACCTAGCGCTTACCTCCATGTGTCCGACTAAGCCAGTGGACCCGGTGAGGGAAGATAATGAGACTGATGATGATTTCGCTGTTTGGCAGCGAGATCATGCAGAAGTGCGGATGAAGTATGATCTCGAACATAAGAAATAGGACATTTCAAACTACAAGTGCTTGATGGTGGCTAAGTCCACAATTTCAGATGCAATAAGAGGGTCTATCCTAGATTGTGACACCACCACGGAGTATCTTAAGAAGGTGGAGAGTCAGTTCACTGGCTATTCAAAGGCTTATGCCAGTACTTTGATCAAGAAATTGTTCAATGAGAAATATATTGGTGGCGGTATCAGAGAGCACATACTAAAGATGAGCAACACGACTTTGAAGCTGAAGCCAATGGATTTGGGGCTCAAGGATGAGTTCCTGATTCATTTGGTTTTTGCTTCCTTGCCAAAGGAATATGAAACTTTTATTGTTAATTACAATATGCAGCCCGATAAGTGGGATATAGAGAAGCTCATCGCAATGTGTGTTTAAGAAGAGGAGAGGCTAAAATCCTTATAGGATGACTCTGCTAACCTTGTGAAGGACAACAAGAAAAAGAACTTCAATAAGAATGACAAACCTCAAGGGAAAATCGCTCAGAATGACCACCATCCGAAGAACAACAATGCTCAAGTTGAGAAGGATCAGTATAAATGGTGCAAGAAGCATGGACACTACCAGAGGGACTGTCCAAACTTCCTAAAGAGCCTTCTGAAGAGAGGTGATGATTTCAATACATTCATAGATGAATCCTTGTATTTAAGTTATGCAAAATCTACTTGGTGGATTGATTCAGGTGCAATTGTTCATGTTGCAAATTCATTATAGGAATTGCATACGAAGAAGACCCTGCAAAGAGGAGAAAGAAGAATTAAAATTGCAAATGGAGTTGAAGCTGATGTTGAAGCCATTGGAGATCTATCTCTAGAATTAGATGATGGTTTTAAACTATAGCTTTCAGATATTCTTTATGTACCCTCTTTGCGAAGAAACTTAATAAGTATTTTATGTTTAGATGATGATGTATATGATTGCCATTTTGATAATGGCAAATGTAGGATTGTGATTAATAATAAGTGTGTTGGTCTTGCCTTCCGACAAGACAAGCTTTATTTATTATCACTTTCTGAGAATGTGAATGATGTAAGTACTGAGAATGAGAATGCCTCTTCGTCTATGAATGCAACAAATAAGCGGAAGAGAGTGCATGATGTATCTTTGAAATTATGGCACTATCGTTTAGGCCATATTTTGAGTGGGAGAATAGAGCGATTGATTAAGAAATCAATTCTTCTGCCTTTAGAATTTTCAGATTTAGAACAATGCATAGATTGCATAAAGGGAAAGTACGTTAAGAAAATAAAGAAAGATGCCAAACGAAGCGTAGGAATTTTAGAAATAGTTCACACAGACATCTGTGGTCCTTTTTCTGTGAAGAGTGTGAATGGTTATGATTCATTTATAACATTCATAGATGACTATTCTCATTTTGGCTATATTTATCCAATTAAGGAAATATCGGAAGCATTAGATAAATTTAAAATATTTAAGGCTGAAGTAGAAAATCAGCACAACTTAAAGATTAAGG